ACTATGGATTTTCTAACAGATGTTAGCAAACTTAAAAAATTTCTTGTTGCTCTAATTTTGGAAAAAATCATTAAAACTTTTCTTGTAATAGTTACCGATATAGGTTTCTACTTCGACAATGCTCGCAGTCATTTTAAAAGCAAGTTTATTATGCATTTTATCACACAAATGAATGTCAATTTTTTAAAAACATGCATTGAATGGAACTTCTTAGCAAAATGACATGAAAACGGAGTAGTTGATAGTATTAGAGTCACATTGAAAAGCTAAGTAAGAAATTCGATCAACAATAAACGAGTGCCTGTGAAGTTCACAAAAGAATTTCGGGATGCATGCAATCGACCCAAAAGTAAAGTGAGACTTATTAAATTTACTTATATTAAGACGCAAAAAGATTATTAAAATTTTTTTTTTAAAGGATGCAAAAATATTGAAAATATTTTCAAACAGTATAGTTTTATCGATAATGCAAAAAAATTAGAAACAAACCAACTAAAATTATTTTAAAACAATATATATATATTTTTTAATATAACTATTTCCTGATACTTTAGCTTTTCAAAGACCAAAACAACGGTGTTAAATTCTCCTTTCATTTTTCTTCAAATTTGCTCCCATCGTGCAGAAGAACACATTTTAAACTTTGCTTTGAGCTCTCAATAAATAGACGTCAATCATCTTGGATATATTCAGGAAGATTATTTCCAGGACTTCTCTAATTTCGTGAAAAAATACAAGATCTTCTTTTTGAGAGAAGAACAGTAACAGACTCTTTCTACTTTACGTTTCTTCTCGTTTACATTAGAAAGTAATTTTGGTTCCTTGTTCCAGTAAATATTTATTCTTCAACCTGGAAGCAAATACCTCAAAAGCTTCTTTTGACAGGTAAAAATTCCTGGTGAGATAATTCAGTTCATCTTGGTTGAAACGTCATAGATTTGATGACATCCTCTCATAATCACGTTCATCTTCATTAGTATCAGAAGGGTGATTAGAAGGACAATATTCATCCTCACAAAGATTTAGTAGCTGTAAAAACGTTGGGATCGGCACTTCCTCTGAGTAGAGAACCGGTTATCTAGCAGAGGCTAAATCAAGTTGAGTCCACTTGGTATGGTTGTTTCGACTGATTCCAGTAATATTTATTAGGCAAAAAATAACAGTCGTTGAAATGGTTTTGATATTAACTCCTAACTATTGGCACGCCGAATTCTTTTATACTAATTCATAATTTCATACTAAGTTCATTGTCGTAAATGTTCTGTACAAGTTTTACAAACCTAATGTGGTGCCCAGGTTTTATCTTGATCACCAAGCCTAACACCGAAGTATTAATGAAAAGCCCTTTTTACAAAGTTACTGAATGTTTTTGGTTTTCTTTTAACTAAGGCCCAGCGAATCGGCATTTTTTGTTTCGAATCGAATCTCGAATCGAAGCGGGTCTTGATTCGCGAATCGAATCGAATCAGTAATATGAGGAAATCCAAGTTTAAGCATCCTTTTTCCCAAAAAAAAAAAACTTTAGTCTAAATTTTTTTTTTGCCCGGATTATTTTTTAAGCGGTTGTTTGGAAGCAGTATTACAATTACTTTCGATTACAACTACTTTACTCTGGCTGAGATAAATGAAAACATTTTGATAGCATCATAGTGTTGGATACCTGAAAAAACAACAACACTCACAAAATAAATAGTGATTCAAAAAACTCAAATCATTTTTTTCAAATCGAATTTTGAATCGAAACACTTGATTTGTGAATCAAATCGATTCGCAGGGCCCTACTTTCCACATATAATCTCCGCAATATATGTTAAAAGAAATATATGTACCAAATATGTAATATATGTTGCAAAAAACATCATGTTGATTCTCAAAACTTTTACTATTTGAACTCATTATATCTAGGTTTAACAACAAAAATACAACAACAATCTACAACACTCTACGTTTTATGTTAACCTAACAACAACACTTTCCAAAACAAAGAAACCTTTTGAAACGCTTACTCTACCTAGTGGATTTTCCTGTAACTAACTGACCGGTAAATTGACAATATGACAAACATATTAATTACAGAAACCAAACTATGTAGAAGTGATTTATAACTATAAAAAGTCCAGTTAGAACTGTAAACTTCATGTGAAACTGCACCTTAAAAAACATTTATGTAAAAAACTAAAGTTTATCGAAAGAAACATGCACCCTGAGTGTTACAAGTTAATATAAAAATTAATTTTAATAAAAACTAAAAACAAAAAAAAAATAGCAAAACTTATATGAATAAAACTAAATATGAGATAGTAAAAACAATATTTAAAAGATTTCTAAATGAGGATTTTAAAGTTAGTAAAATTTTCAACAGTTTTAAATTTATATGGTAGATCATAGTGTTTTGCAACCACATGACAAAGTCCTTCCTTTTGCAAATTCTTATCTCACACAAGTTAATTTGAGCAAACAATTTTGATTTCAAGTTCTAACTTTATGAGTTTTAATCACAAACAGGGCAAAACGGACCTGTTTGTGATTAAAGAGATCTGTCATTTGGGTTGGTAGTTTTTTGCAAACTAAATTCACCAAAAAAAATTAAAAAAAATTCCTTGATATTTGCAATTTACCAAATATAATTCAACACTTGTCAACTCAAATGCTAAATGTATAAATGAGCTAACTCAAATGCATATATGACAGCTTTGGGGAAAAAAGGGGTGGGCCAGCCCCTACACCCCTCGTTCGGAACGACCATAAACATAAAACGATATCAAAACAAAATTTGAGCACAACTTTTTATCTAAACATTTTCATACTGTTAAGCAAGCATTCCTTCTTATACTCATATCAATTGATGGTAAATTAAGTTTATGTACATATGCTTGAGAGTAGATGACAACGATTGCTCGTCTTTCAATTGATTTGAAAATAGCACACCGTGTATCCGTAAAAATAAAGCTGATAAGGCCAAATGTTAAAAATGGCAAGATCATCTATTTATAGACACTTGCGCTTTGTAAGATAAGGTCTCATTTTTGAAAGTAGTCTTAATCTATTACTTGCTTTCTTGTAACGGAAATAAAAAAAAATATCTTAATGTTAGAAAAGAATCAGCAAAAAATCATGTTAGAAAAGTCTGCAACCAAGATTGCAGGTTTTTTGTTGTTTTGATTTTACTTTCTCGACAGCTCAGAAAACCGTTATAATGTGCTAAGGAGCATACATACCATTTTTTCCTTTATTTTGGTTTATTATAAGTTCTTTGTATTCAAAATAGAATGAAAAATTTCTAAGTTCTTTTAAAAGATACTTCTGAATTATGCTAAAGTTTTATTGGAATAGTTAACGGTATCGTCAGCTTATTTGAATACGCTGCACTCTCAAAGACACTCTGCAAAGTTATCGAAAAATGTAATAATAGAATAGACCAAGAATAAAACTTTGGATGAGGGCCGCCGAAACGGATTTCAAAGTGGAGGGGCACAATTGTCAACTTTTAAAAAAATCCTCTATATCTAGAATTTTCTTTAAAAAAAAAAAAAACTCGTTTATTTTTATTGTAAAAAAGATTCGTCTTAGTTATTTTTTTTTTGTGTTACTAATTTGTCACAAAAAAAAATGAAGTTTCAGTTTGCAAAGTTACGTCTTTTTTTTTTTTTTAAAGTAATAAAGTGCAACTTTTGTAAGTTTAAAGATCTTTTTTATAAGTTTTAACCTAATCTATATGCTCACGTCATTATTTTCTCCTTTCCCGTTCCCATAGAAAAATGTGGAAACTTAGCTTAAAGCTATCTTTCTGACTTTTACAGAGTCATAGCATTTTATTTATATCTTTATGTATGTTATATAAATATCCAAAGAAAAGAAAAACTAAATTATAAAGTTACCATTTATAGATTTTTAAAAATTTATAAACTTTTTTTAGAAAAAAAGTAGTAGGGGAGAAGTGGGACACATAAATTTTTTTAAAGGGTAATTTCAATATCTTTTACCAAACAAGTTTACCAAACGAAGAAAATTTCTTTTAGAAACCGATTCAATCCCCTTAGGTTTCCAGCCAATTATAACTAAGCATTTAATCTTTTGTTTTTAGAGAAACTGTGCCTTCTGTAAGTAGAAGTTGGACAAATATTTAAAACAACATTTTAACTCAAATTATTAAATAGAGACTAATAAAATCACCTAATCGACATAATATTATTCAAGAGCTTTCACCAATCAAATTAATCAAATGGCGAAGGGAAGAAACGGGCCATAAATATTTCTTTTTTCTGTCCCACTTCACCCCATTGTAAACACTTTTTTAAGGTACATTTCAAAATTAGGGCTTCTAACGCACGCAGCAAAAAAAAGCAATTTCTGCTAAATAGAGGGGAAGAAATTTAGTTGTTTACATTAAATAACAATATTTAGACACCACTCCTAATTGGAAATTTTAGGTTGTCCCACTTCTTCCGCGTCCCATTTCTACCCACTCTCCGCTATATAAATGCAATATTAAATATTATAAATTTATATAATCATTTATTTAAGTTAATTAAAGTTACAAATTTCACAAAACTTATTAAAGATAAGATTTTTTAAAATATATTAAAGTTTTGTAAAATATATTAAACATTTAAACATGTGAATGTGTGAAAGTAGTAAGTGAGTGTGTGAAAGTAACAAGTGAATATATGAAAGTAACAAGTGAATGTGTGAAAGTAACTAATAAATGTGTGAAAGTAACTAATAAATGTGTGAAAGTAACAAGTGAATGTGTGAAAATAACAAGTGAATGTGTGAAAGTAACAAGTGAATGTTTAAAAATATATGATATGAGGATGTGACACATAAATGTCACATGTAAATATGTAAATGTGACATGCAAAGTATCACGTGTTTGACTTTATTTGATAAATTTTTAACTTCACATCAATCAGTTTTAAAAAAATTAATAGAGGTTAAACTTAGTTTAAAAGAAACTTAAACTTAAATTAATAAAAAGTGTAACAACACAAAAAAACTACCGTTTTTCCTGAACCTGTTTGGGCACAGACAACTAGATCTAATCCTTTCATCATAAGTGGTATGATACTTTTTTAAACAGGTGTTGGTTCTTTGTAGAACGTGGCATCAAATATTGAAGGCGGTAGCTGCTTTATAGACTCAAAGCTAGGAATTGGTTTTGGTAAATCTTTAATGTTTAATCCCCATATACATACTTCTAGCTGAAAATATTCTTTAAAAAAGATTCCGGGTTGTCGATAATAACTATATTCGGTTTCTACTTTTGAAAAACTGTGCTGACTTTCATTACAAACAAAGCAATCAGAGTTTTGACAATTTAATCTTGGTATTTCTGACAACTTTAAACCTAATAAAATCAATTTTTTAAATTTATATTTTTTGATAGGTGTAGGGAGTTTAATGTCCCAGTTTAACTATTGTTGACCATTGTCCTGGTTTTTACGTAGGATAGTGGAGCGCTAAACTAATTGAAATCAAAAATTTAATTGTGTTCCCCTATAAAAAAAAAAACTGGGACAATGGCAACGCTGCATATGTGGCCAACCCTGCATAAGTAACCTTATAATAACATTATAGTAACACTTTAGCAATGTGAAAATTTAAAACGTTTATTCACTTGCTTATTCCAAATTTTGTTAGAGAGATAAATAAGAAATTAAACAAACAATGATGGACACTATACCAAAAAAAAGATCTAAAACTTTAATTTTGCTTTGGTTTTCTGATAAATTTCAATATAACCATAGTTTGGCTACAAAAAATCTCACAGAGAGATAATTGACATATAATGTATGAGAGCATCAAAAATCCCAAGAAGTCAAGTGACCATCTGAAGAATGATTTGACTACACACAACAACCATGTCTCCTTGAGTACTGAATGACGGAGATGGATAGCTGCTAGAAAATTGGTTGAAAAAGAAGATGCTTAGAGATGCCATAAAGAAACTCTTCTACGTGACATTTCTTGTGGGCAACGAAACAGAAAAATCAGACTAAAGAACATTGGAGAAAGATAAACTAAAATATACAGTAGTTAAATATATAGTTGATTATATTTATATAATCATACTATGTTTGAAAATCGAAGCTGATGAATTGATGGAAATTTTGTAGTTGTTAACTTGCTTTTTTTTTGACTGGCTTCAGGTTTTATTTATTAGAATGAGTCGCATTTTGAATTGCAAGGTTAGCGTTTACAATTTGTTTGTTGCTCTACTGGTTGCTCTACTTTTTTCTCTGTGATTAAAGCAGAGACGCTTTGCCCAATTTTTAACAAATGGAAAAGGAATATTACAGCAGGATTTGACTACACGCTACATGATGACAAAATTTTAAAATTTTTCAAAAATTCGGTTTAAAAATTCAGAAATTCAAAAAAACTTGGTTAATTTTTGTAGATTCCAATCCAAAAGATGTTCATAATGTCATAGCAGCATTAAAAAGACATTCAAAATAATAGAGCAGAGGTTTTATTATACTTTATTAAGAAAGTTTAACAAATTCTTATAAATCCTGGGTTTTTCATGTTTTTTAATTTTTATGCAAATAGCTCCCCGAGATTTTACTTTTAATTGAATTGTTTAACATTAATTAAAAAAATTAATTGAACCCTTGAACCTTAATTAAAAGCGGCTTGAAAGAAAACGTGAAAAATAACGAAAGTATACCTTCAAGTTGTTTAACAAGCTCCTCATCCATTGTTTAAGTATCCTGAAAAAAAGTTTATTTTTAACATTTTCAAAATATTTATTTTTATTTTTTTGTTTACAAAATTTTAACAGCCTAAATAACATTTTAAATCCCCCAAGCGCTTTTTGCTGTTAAAAGTAGAAAAAGTACTTAAGGAGTAAATAGAAAATAATATCATTCTTGCTTTGCTTTTTTTTTTACTTGGAGCATAATATCAACATTCATCATTCTAATTAGCTATTCAACAATCAACACTTTTTTTAATGTAAGAAATAGAAAAATACTTTTTAATATTACACCCATTGTAATTCTTATCCATCGCATTTTATTTTTATAAAAGCACTTTTAAAGCTTCCCTCTTTTTTGTTTCAAATTAAAATAAATACTTTCCGGTAGGGCTGTGAAGTCGGAGTCGGAGTTGTGACATTTGTAGCCGAGTCGGAGTCGCTAAACAAAATCGCTACTCCGACTCCAATAGTAAAACTTCTCTGTATTGCACATGCATGTACAAAATATTTAACATTCAAAGAATTTTTCATATATTTGGCAAAAAAAAAAAATTTAATTATCGCGTAATATTTTTTAAAAAATTCAAAGATATTTTCAAAAGTTTGTAAAAAAAAAATTCTTCAAAATAGGCTATGCAAAGTTTTACAAATTACTAGATCAATAAGTTGATTTCAATTCATTTGACAAGCTTAAGAAAGAACCGGCAAATATTCGTTAAAGTTTGGATAACGAAGTTTACTGAAAGGCGAAGTTGACATCGAAGTTGAAATAAAAATTCGGCTAAATTCGGTAACAATTTCAAAGTTTCATTTAACTTTCAGTTAGATTCGAAAGCTATAAAAATTTTTTCAATTTATAAATAAGAAGAATTAAAAAATATATTATGTGTTTTATGTATATCAACCTGTTTCTATCGGTTACAACCCTGTTTCAACTCTTTAACTCCGGAAAATGTTTCGGAGTTGAGAAAAGGTGTAATCAATATTACACTCGGCCTAAGGAACATGAATTCGGTAAAAAATAAAAACATTTTGAAAATAAATTTGTCTTACAGAGTCAATATTCGATAGATCTTTTTTAGGCACAAAGTTTTTAAAAAACAAGTGAATATTTAACCTAATTTTCGTAACGATCGTTTTTCTTTATAAATTTGACAATCAAAATTTTTATATAAACATTGTAAATGTTTTTTTGTTCATGCCCGTGCAAAAACATTAAGAGTCGTGAAGATACCATTAAATTTTCATTATTACTGAATTTTTAGACTTTTTATTTTGACGCAAATTGCTTTTTGTATACGTATATTTTTAAAATAAATTAAAATTTAAATGACTTCATTTGTTCTATGTCATGTTTTAAAATTATGGTTGATTACAAGCTAAAAAGTATTAACTTCAGTTTATAAAAAATGATTATACAGTAACCGCGGCGCAGTAGTTAGAGTGCTTGCTTTAGAAGCAAGAGACCTAGGATTCAAAGCAAGCTCTGGGCATATTTCGCACCATCAGTAAGGAAGAAGATTTGAACTTACTAGTTTAATACTTTTCTGATATACTCGGCGGCAAAACTGTTAGGTCTTCTTGAAACATTTAAAGCAAAAAACTTTTTTATAAGTTTTATAAAAAATTTTTTTTATATAACTTGTAAAAGTCCTTAAAAACAAATTCGGCTTTCAGTTAAATACGGTTTAGAAGTCTAAATTCGTCTTTCAGTTAAATTCGAGTCTTAAAAAGTCGACTTCGCCGGTCCATAGCTTAAGTTGTTCGTACAAGACAAGTGTAAATAAATTAAATAATAAGTATGCCATAATTTAAATTATTTAGTGCATCAATTGTGGTTATTGATACACCTTTTTAAATATATCTCAGTCACTATTGATGGCGCATCAATAGTGGTCATTGATACAGTTTTTGAATATTCCTCTTTTTTTTTTAGGTCACATGGCATATGTAAAACGATCATTGTTGATGGTTTTACATATGCCATGTAAAATCACCAACAAAATATGTGGTATCAATATCAGTACATATTCTGAAGAAGGTACAAGTGCACCCGGACTCAAGTATCGAATTCAAAGTTACATCTACAACGTTTCTTCCAAATGTTTTCAAAACTATTAATAAAAAGGATAAGCAGACGTGTGAACGTTAGTTGAACGTACACCGAGTTCTTCATATCAAGCACCTGTAAACTTTTTAAGTCTGAATATATTACTGTGGCAAAAAAATTACAAAAAAATTTAAGAACTGCTACAAAAAAATTTAAAAACTGCTTCATCGAAATGGTGTTTTCAAATTCTTTTAGCATTTCAGTTAGCAATTTTCTCTTCTCCTGCTTTTGTCTCTTTAAATGGCAAAAAGGCTCGCAAATTTAGCATTTCTTTAGAAAGAAGTAATATTAAAAATTTGGTACTACAAAAAGCAAAACAGCAGAAGGACATGCTCTTGGATTTTTTAGGTAACCGCTTTCTTTTTTTGAAGATGGACGGATGTACCCGTTACAGAGTTAATTATTTTTTAATTAACGTATAGTTCCTTGATAATAATAAAAAAGTTGTTACACGAACTTTTGCTGAACAATTTGCAAGAACAAGTTATGAATGTTCTTACAGAATTTTGTATTAACAAGGAACAAATATTATGCATTGTGAAAATGCATTGTGTGATAATACCGCCAATATTCACTGTAAAGATGCTTAATGAAAATGTAGCAGCATTTAATTTGAATGAAAATGAAGCTTCAGAAGAAGGAATTACTGATAATTTTAATTTAGATGTATTTGTGGTAGATTCTTTAGATATTTACCAAATGCGCTGTGCATACACTGCAACTCGCAATTCGTACATTGCAACTCGCAATTCGTATTGACTTAAGTGAATATCATGCTTATCGATTTATTGCAAAAGAACGGAGTGTTGTGGTTTCTTGCATTGCATCAAAGTTTTGTGTCATATTAAAGCGGCGTACTGGAAAAGAAGCTAATTTAGATCAAGCTACACGCTGGGGCAGTATTTATTTGACGATTAAGCGTATCATTGAATTAAAACCTTTTTTTACTGACATGGCTAACCCAGCCGTAACATTGACTGATACGCAATGGGAATAAGTAAAAAAATTGAATGTCTTCTTCGTGAACTTTATATCACCACAAAAAAACTGCAAACATCAAATTTTATTGCTGGTGTAGAGAAATTTGACCGTTCTTCAAATTTAGCAGAAAACGATGCAACTCATAGTTATCCTGAGATTATTCAAGAGGCAGCTCTGATCGCGACGGCACTGCCGCCGACAGTCTCCGTAGAACGGTTATTTTCTGCACTCAGAATCATCAGATCCGATTTTTTTTTTCAATTCTGTTATTTTATAAAGTTTTGTTTATTGTTAAAAGAGTTAATAAAAATAAATAAAATATTACATTATATTGATTCATTCCTAATAATTATTAATTGTAACCATGTTTATATGTCGATATTCGTTTAGTTTTGGAGTCGAAGTTGGAGTAGGAGTCGGAGTCGTACTCTGAAAGTTTCAACGATCGGAGTCGGAGTTGGTACTTTTTTTTTACGACTCTACACCCCTGCTTTCTGGAAATTTCTTATATCAAAAATGTTTACAAATATTTGCTAATATGAAAAAATCGTTTTATTTAATAATTATAAAATAATGATAAAAATAATTATAATAATAAATAGAACAATTAGTTGTTGTTCTTCTTCTTTTATAACTATTTAACAGACGTTTAATAACAATAAAAGTTGTTAAATTGGAGTAACCATAAAAATAAAATTTAATAGGAATAATAGTAGTAATTATAAAAAGTATATACCAGCAACAACAACAACAACAACAACAAAAACAACAACAACAACAACAACAACAATAACAACAACAAAAACAACAAAAACAACAACAATTAATTGTTGTTGAATTGTCTGAAAATATTTTCAGAGTGGTTTAAAAAATTGTAGTTTAAAAAGGATGTTCCATGTTTTTATGTTTTGATATTGATAAATTTATAGCGTAATAAACAGTACAATATTTTGGTATAGTTAAATTAAAGTTGGCATCAGCTTGTAGAACATGTTTACAATTTTCACTACAAATAACAAAAAGATTGTGAATGTAAGAAGTAGATTATTATGGTAATGGTTTCAAAAAAATTGACAATTTTAAAGTAAAATATGGTCACATAGTGAAAAAGCTTTCGACATGAAGGTAGTTGATGTTAAAGATTGAATTACTAGGCAGAAATAAATAATTTTTAAAATTTTATTTTGGAGATAATTTAAAAAGGCGCAAATTCTGCTTAATTCTAATACCAAATCTTGAAAATGAGATTTAAATGATAAATTAAAATCTGTTTTAATTTCAAGATAATTAATAGAATAAAAAAGATTTATTCTTCAGCTATTTAATCTGCAATTAATTATCTGCATTAATTATCTTTGTTAGAATAAATTTAAATATGTAGAGTTTAGTTTTTTATTTTAATTTAATGGAGAATTTGAATAATGTTAGTTAGATCACAATACATATTTTTGATTTTTAATTGATTAGTTAGTCAGAAGCAAGTTAGTATCATAAAATTTACAACAAAGAGTTAAGCAGTACAAAGCTCAGTGAAACATTCAGATCATTGATAAAATGAAGAAGTAAGAAGAAGAATAAAAGAAAGTAAGAAGATAAAATGAAGAAGTAAGAATATTTATACCTTTGTGAAACACAGTTAAAAGGTTTAGCAAGAATTACCTTAACCTGGTATTTTAGAATGCTTTACTCGTTCAATCACTTTACATAATTTAATTCATTTACATAATTTGTCTTGTTTATTTTCATTGTAAGTTTGCCTCATTTATTTTTAAAATGAACTTATTTATTGTAAAAATGAATGATTAAAAATAAAGGGTTAAAGCCTATTGGTTTTAATCCTTTATTTTACTCTATTTATATTCTCATTCTTTCTGGCTTTACATTTAAAAAAAGTTAGGCTGATAAACTTGGAAATTAACTTA